TTCTGAGAGGGAAGAGTTTCTGCTGCCAGTTGTGGGTGTGCGTGTGTGTGGGTGTGAAAGGAAGGTGACCACAACACTTGGAGCAACCAAAAGATCTTGATTGCAGCAGTGCAACAAAGAGAAAAGAAAGAAGGAAAGAGAGAGAAAAGAGAAGAGATAAAGAGGGAGAGAGCAAGAGCAAGAGACAGAGAGCGCGCGCAAGAAAGATAAAGAGCAAGAGAGGGCTGGGGATGTGGCTCAAGTTGTAGCGCGCTTGCGTGGCATGCGTGCGGCCCGGGTTCGATCCTCAGCACCACATACCAACAAAGATGTTGTGTCCGCCGAGAACTAAAAAATAAATATTAAAAAAAATTCTCTCTCTCTCCCTCTCCCTCCTCTCTCACTCTCTCTTAAAAAATAAAAATAAAAATAAAGAGCAAGAGAGAGAGAGAGAGAGCAAGAGAGAAAGAGCAAGAGAGAGAGGGGCCTGGCAGGAGGGAGTTTTTATAGCCCAAATCTAATGGGGCCTCTGGGTCTGCAAGCTGCCTTGTTGGCCCAAGGGGGGTTGAGTGCTCAGCCTTGAGCGGGACTTGACACAAACAGGTGATAAAGGACCAGAGAGAGGGGGTTTGAGTGCGTGGGCTATCTTGCAGCCAACATCTGTTCAGCCTGCCCTGCAGACAACACAGTTCAGCCTGCTCTGCACCCAACAGTGTGTAGGTGTGCCCCTGCTACACACAAAACCTGATTGTCCAGAGGTGTGGAAAACGCCAGGCGTGACGTGTGGTATTGGGAAGACCCTCCTATTTTTAAGGAGCCACCAGGATCAGGTCCCTGGGCCCCAGCTGGAGCGCTGTGGGTGTTCACAGGCCCAGCTGACGGCTTCCGACGCACCCGGAAAGGCGAAGCAGAGTCTGACGTGGCGGCCTCGCTGGCCAGCCGCCTGGCAGCCCTGGCTTTGGGAGCTCTGGAGTCATCCCCTGTGGGTGGTGGGTTCCTCTGTGCTGTCCCCCTCAGGGAAGCAGTGCCACTGGCTGGTTCTCCTTGGGGATTTGATGATTTCCAAGTAGTTCTGGGGAAGTTTGATAAACAAAAAATTCCACTCGTTTGCGCTTGGCCATTCTCCCCTGCCCAGTCCTCCCAGGTTTTACCTTATCAGGTACTTGTCCCTGGCACTAATATTAATCCAGTGTTTCTTAAAACTGACTCATTTTTTAACTAAACAATTGTATTTTAAAAGGAACTTTTTACCATTACTATAAATGGAAGAACAGAATCTCCAGGTTACCATGATAAATTAATCTAAAAATGAATGTCGCAGGATTGCATTGAATGTGTGGCCTTGCTCTGCAAGATCCAGTTGTCTACTAGTACGCAGGACACACTTTGGGAAACATGGGCGGAGGTAGAGGAAAGACCAGTGAAAACCAGTGGGAAGCACTGGTATGAACTATACCTCCGTGTCAGTGGGCCGTGGCCACTGGGGGTCGGCAGGACTCAGCGCTGTGTCCTGGGTCCTCTCCCACGTTTCTCCTGGTCCCAGCATCTCCTGTGGCCTCTCTGACGGGCCCTCTGGCCTCTGCTTGACTGCACTCAGGTGAAGAGCCCAGGCTGATTCTTGGAAAAGCTTTGCCTTTTTCTAAATGCCCCCACCCCAGCCGGGGACGGGTGGCACCAGCTCTTCTTTGTCCTTTGCACAGCCCACAGGATTCCTCCAGTTGTTTCCAAGGACAGTGGCTCCAGGCTTATCAGCTGTGCTTCTGGAATTCACTGCAAGGCCTGCCCTGGTGACCGGTGGGTGGGTGGGCAGGTAGTGCAGCTGCGCTGTCCCCTTGGGAATGCTCCCACCTCTACGCCCCACAACCTGGTCGACCCCTCTTTCTCTTCACATCAAAACTCAGCGCCTCACCTTCTCCGGGAGCTTCTCCAGCGTGCCTGCCGGCCCAGGCTTCCCAGCCTCCTGTGCTTCATTTCAGGCCAGATTGTGTGCTGACGGGATTATTTATTAAAGTCTGCTTCAGCTCCACCAGGGCAGGGACCATGTCTGTCTGACTCACACCGTCCCCACTGCCTGGCCAGCAACCTTGGCCCACACAGGGCTCCACTCCAAGGTCCCCAGTACCTGGAGCGAAGGGTTCCTATGTGAAGCATGTGGACTTTCTCCAGCATGATTAGATCAGCAGTTTCCTCAACGAAACATCCCCTTCTACTTACTTTTAACATGTTGGGTGACATACTGAGTCCAGGCACCATGGGAGAGGTTGAACTTACTCACCAGTTAACTTTAAACACCACCAGTTACCCATCTTCCACAGATTGAAGTGAAGCCTGGCCCCAGGTCTTGGAGCTAGCACATAGCAGGGCAGGGCCCTAGCCTCGCTGCGCTAACTAGTCTAAGACTTGTCCTCTGTCCATTCTGCTAGTTGCATAGTGCCTGCCCTTTCCCATGGTCCTCCCGCCCCCAGGAGCAAATTCCATCTGGGAGGCAAGTGAGGTCCATAGGATGCAGTACCACGATGGCAACACTAGGGGGCAACACAGAGTCCCCTGGGAGGGCCACATAGCCCACTGGGAGGTGAGGACAGATGGTGTCACCTGAGTGGAGTCCGGTCCTCGAGGCTGAGCCCAGGGGATGGGCCCTCCGTGGGCAAGACCCGTGGCTGATGACTGCTTTGTGGTCATCATTTTGCTTCGTTTTGGTTTGGGTTTGTTTGTGTATTCACCATTAGCTGCACCCAGCATCTGAATCCAGAGTGGAATCCTGTGGCCCAACTGTGAGTTTCAAAGCATCTGTCTCCATCAGCCTCAGGGTAATGCGCTGTCACTGGGATCGGGTGCCTCTGCCTGGCCCCTGTCCAGGGCCCTCCGGGATTGTCTTGAGAGCAGAGCTGCAACTTGCTGAAGTGGAAGGTGCCAGCAGAGCGCCTCGGGCAGATCTGAAGGTGTTCTGAAGCTTCAGTCAGATCCTTTTGAGGGAGGGAGAGAGACTGCTCTTTTCCTTCATCACTACGTGTGTTTATGTAGAGAAGTGTGAAGGCATTTAATCATAATATTAACAATACAGGTATTAACAGAAGAAAGCCCCTGAAAGACTGAAGTTGGGCAACATTGACGTGGACTGTTCTAATCCTCCTCTTTCCATTGGTGACTAGTGAGAAGCCTCGGTTGTGTCTCTCAGTGTCTCCAGACACTGGCAGCCCTACCTTGATTCAGGGCACGATCCACTCAATAAACATTTGTTAGCCACCAAGTAAGTGCCAATGTCACCCAGAGCCCCTGCCCTCACTGGGCTCATTCCTGCCTGGAGGAGGGAAGCAAGTGGGGTCCATAGGATGCAGTACCACGATGGCAACACTAGGGGGCAACACAGAGTCCCCTGGGAAGGCCACATAGCCCACTGGGAGGTGAGGACAGATGGTGGAATTAGCAGCCTACCTGTGCCGTGAGTTACCATCGCTAGTGCTCTCTGTCCCTTTGTGTAGATCTGCACTTCCATCTTTTATCATTTTTCTTTTGCCCAAAGGACTTCCTTTTAATTTTCTTGTAGGATGGATTTGTTGTCTGAAATATCTTCATTTCACCTTTGTTTTTGAAAGATATTTTTGCTGGGCATAGAATTCTGGATGTGTTGAAGATGATGCTTCTTACTTGCAGCGTTTCCAACAAAATCTGATGCCTCATCTTTGTGTCTTCATACATGGCGTGTCTTTTTCTCTCCTTTGGCTGTTTTAAGGTTTTTCTCCTTTTTATCAGTTTTGATAAAGTTTTCTTTGTTTCTTGTGCTTGATGCTCATTGGAAACTTGGATCTGTGGACTTTGAATTTTTGTTGAGTTTACAAATCTTTCTGCCATTATTTCTTCAAAAATTTTATGTCTTCTATCTCATCTTCAATTACACTGATCTTTTTCTCTGCAGTGTCTAATCTGACAGCTCACCTAATGTGTTTTAAACCCTGACACTGTGATTTTCATCTCTAGCAGCTTGATTTGGATCTTTTTCTATTTTTTATTTCTCTGTTTAACTTTTGGAAGACATGGAATCCAGTTACAAGATCTGTTTTATGCTCTTATCTGCTAATTCTCACTGTGTCATTTCAGGGTCAGTTTTCCCCTCGGTGCTGGGACCACCCAAGGCTGGGTGCACGTTGGCAAGCCCTCTCACTGAGCCACCCCTGAGCCCCACAGGGTCCGTTGTGATGGATGGGTCTTCCTCCTCATTATGTGTGTGATATTTTCTTTTGTTGCGTGTTCGATAATTTGTTATTAGATGCCAGGCATTGTGAATTTTACCTTTTGGGGTATCACATATTTTTGTATGAACATAAATATTTTTGAGCTTTTGTTCTGGAATGCAGTTAAATTACCTGGAAATAGTTTGATCCTTCCAAATCTTGCTTTTAAGATTTTAGAGGCAGTGGCAGAACAGGGCTTAGTCTAGGACTGATTATTCCTCGCCACTGAAGCAGGGCATTTCTGAGAACACTACCCAGAGCCCTGTGAGTTATGAGATTTTCCAGCCTGGCTGGTGAGAATAGGTTCAACCCTGTGTGAGGTCCGGGCACTGTTTGCCCTTGGTGTGGTTCTGCCCAGGCCTCAGGGAGTTATCACACTGCGTATGCTGGTCACTATCTACCGAACACCCAGGGACACCGTCTGTACACCTCTGTCTGACACTGTCCCCTGGACTTGTGCTGCCTCGGTTTCCCCAGGATCTTAGACAGAAGCTCTGTGTCCTCAGTCCGGGAGCGGGATGTCTGTCTGTGGGCTCCCCCTGAGTTTTCTTCTGCCTTAGTTAGATCAGACTAACGACTAGCAAAAAAAAAAAAAAAAAAAAAAAACCCAGACTGGAGCCTAAACAACAGAAGTCTACTGCCCACAGTCCTGGGGCTGGAAGTCTTAGATCAGGGCATCGGCAAATTCTGCTTCTAGTGAGGGTGCGCTTCCTGGCTTTTTTGTGGGGGCTCTTGGTTAGTTTTAACTAAAAGCAGAATATCTGATGCTGGATACCTACTTACTTTATTTATTGGTGCTGGGGATTGAACCCAGGGCCTTGTGCATGGGAAACAAGCGCTCTACCAACTGAGCTACACCCCAGCCCTGGATACTTTTTTAAAAGTTTATTGTGCTTACAGTTTTTGAAAGCTCAGAGCCCAGCGTTGGGCAGCCTCATCTGCTCAGCCTCCGGTGCCCACCCCGCAGCCCAGCTGATGACAGCACAGTGGAGGAGGGAAGGGAAGCGCTGCCTGTAGACGGGTCCAGGCGCGAGGGTGGCTTTGCTTTGTGGAAACTGGCGCTCTCAAACAGGCGCACTCGTGAGGCCCGCATCAGTTGCCCCCATGACCCAAACGTCTCCCACGGGGCCCACCTCCTAACGTTCCCTCCCCGCAGCCACCCACTGGGGGCTGAGCACCCAGCCCGTGAGCCTGAGGGAGGCACCCTCAAACCCTGTCCAGACCATAGCGGCCGCCTTCCTGCTGTGTCCCCACGTGGCCTCTCGTCTGTGTGTGGAGAGAGCTGTGGTGTCTCCAATGAGGACTGCAGTCCTCTTGGGTCAGAGCCCCGCCCTGTGACCTCATGGAACTGTAACTGCCTCTCTGGAGGCCCTGTCCCCAAATACAATCACACTAGGGCTTAGGGCTTCGGGTTCCATCGCACCCTCCCTGCACCCACGGTCTGGAAGTGCTGAGGGCAGAAATCCGTGCCAGTCGCCGGACCGGCCCCATCTGCTCCCTGGTTTCAGAAGTCACTGTCCGTCCTTGCATATTGTCCATTGTCCTGGAAGATGCTGGTTCATGGGGTGCCTGGTTCTGCGCTGGTTTCAGGTGGGGGATTCTGTTCTGAGGCTGCTTCTGAAAGGAAATGGTCTCCACGGCTGAGCACGTGGCTCAGTGGTAGAGCGCTTGCCTAGCACGTGCAAGGGCCTGGGTTCCATCCCAGTGCTGCAAAACGACAACAACAACAACAGCAACAACAACAAGTATCAGGCCTCGAATGACCCTCTGTGTGTTTTCCTGAGTATCACTTTGTCCTTGATAAGGAGCACTTCATTATTGAAAGCAAAACCTTTTAAACTGTGACTGCAAAGATTTGCCAGGGGTTGGTAATTAGTTTTCACAGAACTAAGGGTTGGTAAAACCCCCAGATTTCAGAGGGTTTGGTGCCATGTCAATCACAGCCCATAGTCCATGCTCACCCGGGGGCCGAGCACAGCCGCACCCCACTGGTCCCGGGCGCCACATCACACGGATGCCTGATGATTGATTTCAGATTTCACAAATATAAACCATTCAGAGGTGCAGCCCACGGGGGCAGCAGGAGATATATTCAAGGTGGCTTGACTTTTAATCAATACTGTGACAATATTATCTTGTTTAATTCGTGTGATGGTGATTTTAAACATCAAATCAAGCAATTTATTATGTCGAAAAAGATGAAGGAGCACGGGAATAAAATTCTCCTGACATCACTTCTGAGCATATTTCACTGCTGTGACAGGCCATCATGATTGGAGACGACATCGTGGGTGACGTTGGCGGTGCCCAGCGGTGTGGAATGAGAGCGCTGCAGGTGCGGACTGGGAAGTTCAGGTCAGTGCTGCCCTTCTCCTAGACTCCCTGGTGCCCGTGTTCTGCTCAGGTCTTATTTTCTAAAGCAGAGGCCTGACTGTAACTGACCTCTGAGGACGGGTCTGGCTGACCTTGGTAGCAGAAATGGCTGTCTTTCTGTGCTTGCTGTGTGGGGTAAGGCAGAGTGACTTTTGATACAGGGTCTGGGTTTGGAAACCATGTGAGAGGGGAGCAGGCCGAGATGAGCAGGTGGAGGCCCTGCCCGTCCAGGGGGGCCTACCAGGGCGTCAGGCTGAGCATGTGCCGCTCTCAGCTGTGTGCTTGGAGACGTCACGGATGCAGACGTCATGGTCGATGGCCCCCAGCCCCCCCGGGCCCCTACATCTGTGAGATGTAGAGAACCTAGAATCAGTGACAGCTGTCAGGGAGGCTCTGAGATGGAACCACCCTCACAAGAAGGAGCTGAGTTCTGTTTGTTGGGTCCAAAGTCCAACGATTCCCAGCGGGTCTCCAGGCACCAGGTGGCATGGTGCCTGTGGGCACATGGAGCTGCCCTGTGGTGACGGGGCTCTGGCTGGCTTGGTCGTTGAGAGAGTCTGTTCTCCCTGGCTTTGACTGTGAAAGGTTACCTTTTGCTGGAGAGACTTGGTGAAAATGGTACCCAGGGCGCCTGGGTTTGGGGAGGGGTGGTCAGTCACCCCTGTCCTGGGTGATCTTCTGGGTCGGAAAGGACTCCAGGCCCAACTTTCCCCCAGAGGTCTCTCCTGGGTGAGGGGCCTGTGGTTTGGGGACAGAGGCAAACACGGGGTGAGGGAGGGAGCCTCAGTGAACCTGAGGTCTGGGGCCGGGAATTCCAGAACCTCCCAGCCACTGCCTGGACCCCGCTGTGGAAAGTCCCCTTTGAAACCTCAACATGCCTGAACCTTCTTTCTGCCCCAGGATCTCAGGGCGAGGGGTTGGCCTCAGGGAGCCAGAGATCCTACTTGCCGGCGGCAGAGACTGGCCTGGGCCTGCCTTCTCTGAGTCTGCTGCCACCCTGCAGAATACCTGGGCTGCGGAACCCGCACGGGGAGGAGTGATTCTCACAGCCCTGGAGGCTGGAAGTCCACCTGGCTCCCAGATGGCTCCTCCTGTGGCCACCCTTCCAGAGGAGGAACGTTGTCCTCATAGGTGCAGGAGAGGAGAGAGAACCATCCTGTCACAGCATTAACCTTCACGGCCAAACACCCCACGGCCCGCCTCCTGACACTGGCGCAGGAGATTGCGTTTCTAGGCTGGATTTGGGGACACACTCAGACCACAGCAGCCCTTGTGGTGCCCCTCTCCCTGAGAATTGCAGAGCCGGCCTCGCCGTGCTCCCAGGCACAGGCCTCCTTGCTCGGTGCCCTCAGAGGGTGGTGGCACCCGGGGCTCTGCTGCACGGTGCCGCCCTGTGGCAGCTGTAGGAGCCCCCAGCAGTGCTCCTGTGACAGCTGCTGATTGACAGGAGTGGCGTGGCCTGGCGGAAGGCGGAGCCTGGGGCTTGTGCGGTCTTGTGCTCAGGGTGTCTTCTGGTTGTTGGAGAAAACGTGTTGTCTTTCTTGATGTGTCCTCACATGGGTGGACAGGTGTCAGGTGCCAGGTGCCCCTCTACTTGAGAGTGTACTTACTGGGCAGGCCTCTGTGAGGCCCTATGGGGGCCACTCTGACACTGCACCACGAAGGGTGGACCCTTTGCAGAGTCTAGTTATGT